AGCATGCCTCTCCACGAACAGATGGACAGAATCAGAGCAGTAACGGTCGTTACGAACCAATGACAGAGTTGAGTCCTCGAACTATGCGTGCACTACTTGGAGAACTCACACAAGATGTCGTTGAACAGGTAAATTTTCGAAATATTCATAATATGGAAAGATTTACCCAAAATGAGAATGCACATTATGACAACATGGCCAAACAACTAAACACTTTGAACGAAAATATGTCAATCGGTTCTGCCATTTGCAAACCACTTTCAAACTAGGACAATTGTGAGACATAATCCCTCAGTCCTAAATCCGAATCAAGGGATAGAACCACTTTCTGGTCCCTCTACTTCAAACCAAGGGGGTGGTGCAGTGCCAAATCAGAACAATGGTAGTGGTACGCCTAACTTGAGGGGTAATCCAAATGTAAGAGATAATGTCCTAAACAATGGACAGAATACCCTATGTGTTAATGAGAGAATAGATATTCAGGCTAATGGTAATGGCCCAAATCATGGTAACTTTGTTGCCAATCAAGGACCAAACATCAGGCCTCATGCAAATCAACCGGTTAACCAACCTGTAGGAATTCCATATGACCCCAACGTCATGTTGAGGAATCAGATTATGGAAATCGTACAGGATCAGATGGCTTTTGGGATGCGTCCTGTCATTAGGCTGACTTACACAAAGCCATATCCTGATTGGGTAGACCAAGCATATCCATGGCCTAGAGGGTATAAAGTGCCAGAATTCTCACTGTTTACCTATTTAGGGGAAGTGTCTACTTTAGAACACATAGGGCGATTCACATTGCAAAGTGGTGATGTAATTGATTATCATAAAATGAGGTTTTCCCTAGTTCATTAACAGGAGTTGTTTTCTCCTGGTTCATCAACTTACCAGCGAACTCTGTTCAAACATGGCAACAATTGGAACAATTATTCCACGCTCAGTTTTATAAAACTGAGTCTGAAGTTACTTTGGCTGATTTGGCGAATCTACGTCAAATGCCAAATGAGTGAGCAGAAAGTTTTCTCCAAAGGTTTAAGACAGCAAAAAGCAAGTGTTTTGTATCTCTGCCAGAAATTTTTTTTTAAAATCGCTCAGGGTTGCTTGAATTTTGATATAAAAAAGAAATTTCAAGACAAGGAATTTCCTGATCTTTTCCAGTTGAGTGCGAATGTGATTAGGTATGAAAGACTGATAAGAGAAGAAGAGCAAATGAAAAATTCTAGTAAAGGGACTTATTACAAAGACCCAAATTTTGACGTTCATACCATCAGCGACGAGTCATACAATCAAGCTGAAATGTGTTTGGCCAAATTGGTCAAAGGAGACACGTATACTTGTCCTATAATGGTTAAGCCTAGACCATCGGGCAAGGATGAGCCCATGAAAGATGGAAACATAAAGGCTAGAATGTTCTCGTTCGATGTAACCAAGGCTGACCTTATATTTGATAAATTATATAGGGATAAGCAGATAAAGTTGAGTGATAAGCATAAATTGCCAAATCCTGAACAAATTAAGGGTAAAAAATATTGTAAGTGGCATAATGCATGGTCACATTTGACTAACAATTGCTTAGTTTTTCATCATGTATTGCAGGATGCCATTGAATCAGGACGAATTACGTTCGACGATAAGAAGAAGATGGCAGTGGATGAAAATCCTTTTCCACAGCCACTTGGAGTGAACATGGTAACGTCTGGTTTCAAAAACAAGTTGCCAAAATTCAAGTTGGTCATAGATGATGGAGAAGAGGACCCTGTACCACATCCCAGTGTCTTTGAACGAATCAAGGGGAAGGAGCCAAAAAAGGACGAAGACGTCCTGTGTGCAAGATGTAAAAGAGAAGTGAGTGGGAACACGGAGAAACCAGGGATATGGCAGCATCCCCATCGCCCTACTTTCTTCCCAAACACTCAGCCTGGTAGAGGGTGAGGTACATCATTCTACAGAGGATCGCCTTTTGAGAGGCAGTTCAGGCCAGTAGATGATGGGAGAACCTTCAGGCCGCAACCCCGCCGGCCAAATGTATGGCATTCGTTCCAGTATAATGCAGGAAGGGCAATACCCTTCGATGAGATGACTAGAACCCAACAAAGGCGTTTCCAATGAAACTATGGACGAATGATGAGGCAGCAACAGGGAGTGCCACATCCTAAAGCGCCTAAACTACTCAAGGTAGCCAATCAAAATGTTCTCAAAGATAGTGAAGAAATCGGTACGGATGAATCAATGAAAGAGCTAACAGAAACTTCTTCTGGGAGATCAAAGTTTGAGTGAGACAGAAGGGATGGAGAAGATCCAGATCAGCCTCTTACTATCCAGTTCGGTACGTTACCTCCTGTCGTGGCTAATAATTACTTACTGGCTAATGAATTCAAGAATAAAGAAAAAGAAGAAGAAGAAGAAGAAGAAGAAGAAGAAAGGGAGGACAACGAAGGAGAGGCTTGCAACCATCTGGGCGTTCTTTTAATTTCTACGTACTTACAGGACGCCCAAAAGGAAGAAGAGAGTGCCTCGCTCTGAAAAGTATGGTTCACCTCCAAGAATAATGCCCCCTCCCACAGGTTGGGTAATTGATGAGGAAGCATTAGAAAACAGTAAGGAGAAAATTCAGGAGACAGAGGCTCAGTGCGATATGCTGCACGTCGACTTATCACAGAGGGATAATTCGACAGAAAACAAGCAGGAAGTAGAAATAGAAGCTGCCGAAAAGGTTATTTTTAAACGGCCAGCTATGAAATTGACTAAACACTTGAGGCCATTGTACGTTAAAGCTCTAGTTAACGGCATCCCTGTGGCAAAAGTGCTTGTCAACAATGGAGCAGCTATAAACACCATTCCATCTAGAATGATGAGGAAATTCGCAAAGACAGAGGGTGACATGTTTCCTACAGAAGTCATCCTCACTAGTTTCAATGGAGGAGCAACTTCAGCTAAGGGAGTTATGCCATTGGATATAACTATAGGGACAACTACTAGGACTACAGTCTTCTTTATAATAGATGGTCCTACTAGTTACAATGTGTTACTAGGAAGAGATTGGATACATGGAAGTCGCTGCATACCCTCATCACTCCATCAATGCCTGGTCTTTTGGAACAACAAGGATGAAGTAGAGGTGGTGTAGGCCGATCATAGGCCTTTTGTCGCAGAAGCAAACTTAGTGGAAAGGTTCATGTACGAAGGAAACTATGGACCTGTCAGGGTAGTCCAAGATGGGGAAGAAACTCAAATCGTCACACAGACTGAAGAGCCATTTTCAGTGGACGCACTCACTGAAATGTTCAGCCAAATGAGACCAAAAATAGTGATCTTAGAAGAGCCAGTAATTGGCAAAAGAATAATCAAGGAGTCTTGAATGGATTCTAAGCTACAAAAGCAAATGGCCGATATTCAGGCCTTCAAAGCCAGATTAATGGCTTTCAATAAAGAATGCATGGACAAAACGAAAGAAGAGGTAGCCCTAAGAGCGCTGAAAGACAAATGGACAGTATTCGAGTTAGAACAAAGCATTGGCCGAGAAGTCAACAAGGTGGACTGTTTAGAAGAATAAGTACTTACAAGGGAACTGGACAACGAAGTGATGCGGATCATCAAACCTGGATACGCTCAAGCACAAGACCCTCTGAGCAAAGTAAATATTGGCATTGAAGGAGAAGATCGTCCAACATTCATCAGCCAGATGCTCGATCAAGAGGTTAGTGATAAATTAATTGCTTTGCTAAAGGAGTATAAAGATTATTTTGCTTGGGAATATGAACAAATGCCTGGTTTAGATAGAGACTTGGTAGAACATAGGTTACCAACTAAGCCTAATTTTAAACCTCATAGGCAGCCTCCTAGACATTTTGCTCCTAATGTACTCCCTGAGATTAAAAAAGAGATAGAACGATTATTGAAAGTAGGCTTTATTAGAACAGCCAGGTATGTCGAATGGTTGTCCAATATCGTGCCAGTACTAAAAAAGAATGGTAAACTAAGGGTGTGCATAGACTTTAGAAATTTAAACATAACTACACCCAAAGGTGAGTATCCAATGCCCATGGTGGATTCTTTAGTAGACTCAACTGCCGGACACGTCATGCATTCTTTCATGGATGGGTATTCAAGATACGTATTCTGGATACAATCAAATTTATATAGCTGAGAAAGACATACACAAAACTGCCTTTAGATGCCCTGGGTCTTTAGGATGTTTTGAATGGGTGGTCATGCCTTTCGGCCTAAAAAATGCAGAAGCAACTTATCAAAGGGTAATGAATTTAATCTTTCATGATATGGTAGGAAAGTTTGTTGAAGTGTATGTAGATGACATAGTGGTCAAATCCATTAAAGAAGAGGACCATTTCGAACATTTGAGATGTTCGTTTGAGCGAATGAAGCAATATAAACTAAAGTTGAATCCCTTGAAATGTGCATTTGGTGTTAATGCAGGGAA